TTTTGTAGCAAGGAGGGGAGTGATTAACTTTTCAGTCTAGGAGCGGAGGTCCCTGGGACCATCAAGGGAGAAGAGCAGAGAGCGGGACCCTACCCAGATAAGCAGTGATGCCTGAGATGGAGGCAGAGATGATAATGTGGACAGATGGAGCAGCTGGGGACTTTAGACGCAGAGAGGGAGAGGGGCTGTGTGCTGACGACCGGGGGCCAGGCTTGTAGTGTATATACCCTTTGGTTGGTTGATGATTCATGGCAATGAAACAATATACGATAGGGTGAATGTAAAACTAATGTTCTCCCATGTAAACTATCACATAATTCACAATAAAACATTAAAAAAAAAAGATTTGTTGAATGTACAGCTGATGATCTTGTTTGTAAACCTTTACTCAATTAACAATAAAAAATATAAATAAAACAGTATATTTCTGAAAAAGGTAATTATAATACAGAGGAATTAGAATCACAAAGATGACTGTTAAATCTATAGAACTGACTAATGTTCAGAAATACACCCAGAGTTATGTATCAGAATGTACATATATGCTAATGGGGTATTACATGTTAGGATGTGCTCCCATAAAATGAGGGGCTAAATCAAGAAAAAGGAAGACATAAGATCTAGGAAACAGAGTATCTGTCTTAAGCCAGAAGTATAGGGAATTTCCTGGGAGATAGTCAAGGGAAGACACCAAGGTAACAGCTATATGTTAAGCCAAGAGAGCACCAGTTCAGACTTCAACAAGTCAACAAGCTTCAGGAAAGATTTCTTCTAGAATAAGAAATTGATGTCTAGGGTTGGGACCAGCCTCACCTATCACTAGCTGTCTGTACTTGGGTCAGGTAATTCTCTATGACCCAGTTTTACCCTATAAAATGAGAATAATAATGGGACCTACTATATAAGGTTTTTGTGAAAATGAGTTCATATAGAGAGAGATGTAGAATGTGTATAACAGTGCCAGGTACACAGTAAACATGATATGAGTGTCTCTGATTATTATTCCTATGATTACATAATATATTCAGATATAAGAAGAGATTTAAACACCAGAGAAGAATTTACAACTTAATTAAGTACATATATACATATAAGGAGCTCTGGTAGCGTAGTGGTTACGAATCGGGCAGCGAACCTTAAGGTCAGCGGTTTGAAACTACCAGTCGCTCTGTGGGAGAAAGATGAGGCTTTCTACTCCCGTAAGGATTTACACTCTCGGAAACCCTGTAAAGGGTCGCTATGGATCGAAACCGACTCGAAGGCACTTAACAACAACAACAACACACATATAGTAAAATAAACAAATGACTAAACCAGAAAATTGTTAATTCCAGTGGGAAAATGACAGAGATTGTAATCATAGCACGGACTACATAGATAAAATTTTAATACAAATTCATAGTCATAGTAATTAAATACTGACCATGATTCTGACCTCATGCCACATCTATCTTAGGAGCATGAGGTTATACAGGGAACGTACAAGGAAGCTTCAAAAAGTTTGTGGAAAAATGGAATTAAAAGATTATAGACCCAGGTGGAAACCTGGTTGGCCAGCAGTATGGTATGACCTGGGGACTCCTGGGCCCACAGACAGTGACACAGCCACAGAGGACTAGAGTGGAGAGTGAAGCATCCAGCTGATAAGAAGAGAGGGCATATGCACAAGAACACCCACATTTGCAGACAATAACCACTGGACCTGGCTTCAATGGCTGGATGATCAAAACTCCATTAGAAGAAGAAAGAAGAGGTCCAAAAGAGTAATCTGATAAAATTTGATGAACTTGACCTACACCTATGGATGCAGTAGCTCAAAAGAGGGAACAAATCTTTACAGTGAGGATCATGCCCACCCCCTCGGTACACAGGGTAGACAGGGATAATGACTGTCTACAGCATTAACAGCAACTTGGATAATGGCTACCCAAAATGGGGGAGGGGGGCCTACAAAGGCAAGAAGTGACTGGCTTACAAGATTTCAAGAGGGAGCCTAGATCCAGAGGGCCCGGTAGAAGATAGAATCTCCACTGAGTAGTATCTAATCTGTCTGGGCGGGGCTGATGAAAGGAGATGGGGACAGGACTCATGTGGTACAACAGTGAATAATTGCTATCAGGACTGACTGTGAGGGGTGGAAGTGTAAAGGTAGACATTTGTAGCAAAAAGAGGGGAGAGGTTGACTTTGCAGTCTAGGAGCAGAGGTCCCTGGGACCATCAAGTGAGAAGAGCGGAGTGCAGGAACCTACCCAGATAAATAGTGATGCCAGAGATAGAGGCAGAGATGATGATGTGGAGAGATGGAGCGGCTGGGGACTCTACCGGAGAGGAGCTGTGTGCTGATGACCGAGCGGCAGGCTTGCAGGGTATACCCTTTGGTTGTCTGATGATGCATGTTGAGGACTGTAATCATGGCCATGAAACAATACACGACAGGATGAACGTAAAGCTAATGTTCTCCCATGTAAACTATCACATAATTCACAATAAAACATTGGAAAAAAAAAAAGATTGTGGAATTTTTCCACAAACTTTTTGAAGCCTCCTTGTATATGTGAAAGTTACATAGAAAAGTTAAATTTTCATCTTCCATAGTGGAAAAGCAGCAGATAATGCTCAAAACGGAAAAAAAAAAAAAAATCTTAAAAAGATTAAGAGCTAGTGGTGGTGGTCGTGTGCCATGGAGTTAGTTCCGACTCTTAGTGACAAAGCTTCATCTTTCTCCCATGGAACAGCTGGTAGTTTTGAACTGCCCAACTCATAACCACTACACTAAAGAACTAGTTGTTGTTGTAAAGTGCCGTCGAGTCAATTCCTACCCATGTTGTTGTTGTTATATGCCGTGGAGTCGGTTCCGACTCATACCAACCCTATACAGGGTTTCCGAGGCTGTAAATCTTTACGGGAGCAGAAAGCCTCATTTTTCTCCCGCGGAACAGATGGTAGTTTCGAACTGCTGTCCTTGCGGTTCACAGTCCGATTCGTAACCAGTACGCTACCAGAGCGCCTTAATTCCTACCCATAGCGACTATGTATAGGGTTTCCAAGGAGGAGTTGGTGAGTTTGAACCACCAATCTTGCAGTTCAAATGACTTTGCAGTCTGACACATTAGCCCACAGCACCACACCAGAACTAGTTTTTGTTGTTGTTGTTGAGTCTGTCCCAACCCATAGTGACCCTATATAGGGTTTCCAAGGAGCAGCTGCTTGGGCTTGAACTGCCAACCTTGCAGTTCAAACGACTTTGCAGTAGGAGAACCCAAATCAGTGAAGTTTATATATACATATAGATTTATCTGTTGTTGTTATTGTTAAGTGCCCTTCGAGTCAATTCCGACTCATAGCGACCCTATATAGGATTGCCAAGGATTAGCTGGTAAGTTTGAACCAAGGACCTTATGGTTAGAGTCTAGTGCTTATCCAACAGTGCCACACTAGGATTAAGCACTCAAATCTACCCAGAAGCACCTAAAAAGAAAAATCTAGAGATCTGCTTCTAAAAAATCACAGCCATGAAGGGGAAGGAAAATTAAGAGGAGTGAGAATCTGGGGTAGAATTGGGGAACAATGTGAAGAAGAGCCTTTATTTATTTATTTACTTATTTACGTATTTATTTATTTTTGTAACAAGATTTAGAGATCTACTTACACCTTTTACCACTGACAGACAAATTGAAAACCAGTTGTAAATTACAAAGTGGCAAAAAAAAATATTCACAAAAACATACAAGAATGATAAAGGGTTATCAGATTGAGTATAAAAAGACCTCTTGAAAATAATATGCTAAGATAAACAGATAAATAAATCAGCAATAGACAGGAAAAAGAAATTCATGAAAGGGAATTAAATAATCAATAAAAAATTGGGGGAAAGGGAATGATCATGCCTGAAACAAAGTAATAACGAGTTAGAACAATAATCTTTCACTCAGGCTCTAAAGCTACAGATGAATTCCTGCCCCTCTACTCCTCTTCCTCCTCCTCACCTTATGGGAGTTCCTATGTCTTCCCTCAGACAGGACCTGGGATCTCCGGGTTGAATGTCTGTTAGATGTCATGTTCATGCTGGACTTTTCTTGCTGACAATGCCCCTCTTCCTCAACGAGCTCAAAGCCCGTTCGGGGGTCTGTAGACTCAACTGGAGGTGCTAGAATAAGAAGGAAGATCTTGTAGCTTTCACTAGGAGGTTTATTCCAGGGCCTCCAGAGATTCCAAGAAACCTGGAAAGACAACATCCACATGGTCAGAAACATTCAACATTTACCTCACAAATATTTTCTGAGGGAACCAAAGTACAGTTCACTGAACTGAACACTGTGAGTTAGACAAAGTTCAGTAAAATCTTTTTCTAGTTATTAATCAAAATAGAATATGCATGACTTAACTAAAAGACCAAAAAATAAATAAAATAAAAAAATCAAAGAACTTGAACAGACTTTACCAAAGAGGATATTTAAATGGCTAACAAAAAAGATGCTCAAGAACAGTTATCAGGGAGATGCAAATAAAAACCACAATGAGACACCACTTCACCCCCTCTAGACTGGGAATGATTAATAATAACAGTCAAAACAGACAACAAGTGTTTGCAAGGTTATAGAAAAACTAGAGCCCTCATCCATTCATTTCTGGTAAGGATATAAAATGCTACAGCCACTGTGGAAAATAGTTTCCTCGAAAAATAGAATTACATATAACTCAGCATTACCAATCCTAAGTATATAAGGGGGCTTCAAAAAGTTTGTTGAAAAATGAATTCAAATATAACAGAGGAGAGGTGGCAAGATGGCAGGCTAGGTAAGTAGAAAGGCTGTACCGGACTCTCTACAACAACGATGGAAAACCAGATGAAACAGATGCAGACAATAGTCCTGGCACTCTGAGCTTCAGGTTAAAGGACAGAGGAGTGGGCTGAATTCTTACTAGGAGAGAGAGAGTTGAGCAGATGCAGCAATAAAAGAAGAGACTGGTGACCTGTGCCAGCCGACCAGATGTAGTGCAGTTATCTTGAGCTTTCGTGTGTGACTTAAGAGACAAGAAAACATTGGCAATGCAGAAATAAACCTATGGCTAGCAGAGATGAAGGTGAGATTTTTTTTTTTCTAGTTCCTCACACTCCCCTGATGACCAGAGGTGAGGCCAGTTTCCAACCACTTATACCCCCAGGAAAACTCCTGCTCTCGCAGCATTTGGAGCCGCTTAGAGGTGAGTGCAGAGTTGTAAGCGCCATTAAAGGAGGAGGAAACTATGTGCATTAACCCTGTTCAGGCAGACTCTACTACAAATCTGCAGAGCCGGCCCTGGCCAAGCCCTCACTAGGAGAAACAGCTGAACACACCCATGGTGGGGAAGTGGGGAAGAAAAAGAAAAAAAAGAGACTGTTAATCTGTGCCAGCCGACAAAGTGTAGTGTGGCCATCTTGAACTTTCGCAGGTGACACTGAAGGCAAGAGGGTTGTAAATGGTGCAGAGGGATACTGATTATTAGTGGAGAGAAAGTTGTGAAAAACTTTTGTACCCCACATTACGCTGTTGTGATCAGAGGTGTGTCCGGCCCCCCACCTGTGCACATCCCCAGTGAAGTTCCTGCTCTCCAGGCTGTCAAAGTTACATCAAAGTGTGCGAGGAGCTAGTAGCATCAAGCCCAGCACCTAAATTCAGGTGTAGCCTGTTCCATACCCACAGCTGGTTCTGGTCAGCCCTGGACTAGCTGCCCTCTGGGATGGGAATACTGCTTTGGGGTCTGCGTGAACTACTTCTGGATTCTGAATTGGATGTCCAGAATAGACAACACCTAACCCTACAGGAACTCTATCTAGGCTGAGTGTTACCGTCTCATCCCTTACCCGCCCATGATGTGAGGTCTTTAACTGGCATGAGACCCTAGCATTTTCTCCTTTCACTGTTTTTGCTCATTTATTCTTTCTTCTTTGTCTTCCTCTTTCTTGCTTTCTATCCTTCCTATCTCCCCTTTCATTCTTCTTCTTTTTTATGCTTCTCGTTCCCAACAGTTAATGCTCCTTTCTTCTTTTTAAATTTTTACTACTCTGATCTTTTCCCCTTTTACTACTCATTCTTCTCCCTAATTGTGTTTAGGTTTTTCCTATTTATTTTTATTATTTTATTTTCCTCTCCCTCTTTTCTCTCTTTGATTTTTGTATTATTTTTCTAGCTGTTGCCTCGTTTTTTCTTTTTCTTACCTATTTTCTTTATTCACTGTTGTTTGTTTTCCTCTTGTGTGTGTGTGTGTGTGTGTGTGTGTGTGTGTGTTTTCTCTTCTTGCTTCACCTGACAAAAGACAACAATTGCATCTTAACAGCCCAGGCACAATTATATTCTCTACAACCACACCCATTGTACAAGAACCAATACTAGCTGCTATACACAGGATCAATGACAACAACTAACATCAGCTAAATCCATCCTGAATTGAATTGCATGAATAGTGGACAGAGAATGCTATACAAGTTCATCTCCTGATCATACCCACCAGAAGGCAGTACATGAGTTCCTAAGAATACACCAACATAAGATCATCAACTTAATACAAATACAACAAAATCACAATGTCTTGAAAGCAGCAGAAAATTTCTGTTCACACGAACAAAAAAACAGACAGTGGCTCTAACAAGTGACCAATCATCAGAGCTAGAAAACATTTTTTTAAGGGGAAAAAAGAATTTGAGCTATCTGAAAAAGAATTCAAGAGCATGGTATTTAGGTACCTCCAAATAACCTCCAAATAAGGAGCTCTGATAATGTAGTGGTTATGAATTGGGCTGCTAACCTCAAGGATGGCAGTTCAAAACTACTAGCTGTTCCTCAGAAGAAGGATGAGGCTTTCTGCTCCCGTAAAGATCTGCAGCCTCAGAAGCCCTGTGCAGGGTCACTATGAGTCAGAACTGACTCCACAGTACTTAACAACAACAACAAATAACTGGTCAAGGAAAACAAGGAAGCATTCAGGAAAGCACTATGACCAAGTAGGATTCATACCAGGGATGCAAGGATGGTTCAAAATTAGAAAAATACTCAACATAATCTGCCACATAAATAAAACAAAAGGAAAGAACTACATGATCATATTGCTTGATGCAGAAAAGGCATTTGACAAAATTCAACATCCATTCCTGATTTAAAAAAAAAAATGCAATCAACAAAGTAGAAATTGAAGGGAAATTCCTCAATGTAACTAACAGCATATATACAAAAATGAGATTTTCTGTTTCTTTGATGACTTAAAGTCTGTAAACACTATACAGGGTCGCTGTGTCCAACCAGATGGCACTAAACAACAACAGCATACAAATCCAATGGAGAAAAATATTCTCAATGGAGAAAAATGGAAAGCATGCCTTTTGTGAACAGGAACCGGACAAGGATGTTCTTTACCACCACTCCTATTCAATATTGTGTTGGAAGTCTTAGCTACAGGTATAAGGCAAGACAGGGAAATTAAAGGCATCCAAATTGGCAAAAAAGAAGTAAAACTCTATTTGCAGATGATAAGATCCTATACATAGAAAATCTCCAGCAAGAAAATTATTGGAACTCATTGAAAGATTCATCAAAGTAGCAGAGTACAAGATCAATATACAAAAATCAGTTGGATTCTTCTATACAAATAAAGACAACTCTGAAAAGGAAATTAGGAAAACAATACCATTTACAATAGACACAAAAAAGATGAAATACTTAGAAATAAATCTAACCAGAGAAACAAAAGACCTATACAATGAAAACTATTAAAAAAACTACTATAAGAAGCCAAAAGAGACTTTAAAAAATGGAAGACTATACCATGCTTATGGATAGGAAGACTGAACACTATGAAAATATCAATACTACCCATAGCAATTTATAGATATAATACAATCCCAATCCAGATTCTAACATCATTCTTTAAAGAGATAGAAAAATTGATCCTGAACTTTATAAGGAAAAGAGATCTTGGATTAGCAAAGCACTACTTAAGGAGAACAAAGTTGGAAGCCTTTCCCTCCCAGATCTCAAAATTTAATACATAGCCATATGGGTCAAACCAGCCTGGTACTTGTACAATGAAATATACATAAGTCAATGGAACAGAATTGAGAACCCAGAAGTAAATCCATCCACATATAGTCTCTTCAACAAAGGTTGTTGTTGTCAGTTCCGACCCATAGCAACCCTGTATAGGGTTTTCGAGGATCAGCTCCTGCACTTGAACTGCCAACCTTGAAGTTCAATGGCTTTGCAGTCTGGCACATTAATCCACAGTGCCACACCAGGACTCCTCTTCAACAAATGGAGCTGGCTAAATGGCAAAATGAAACAAGATCTGCATCTCACACCATATGAAAAAACAAATAACATGGATTAAAGAGCTAATTGTAAAACCCAGAATTATAAAGATCATCAATGAAAAAATAGGGGCAAAATTAGGGGTTCTAATACATGGCATACATACACTGTCAAACATTACTGAAAGCTCACAACAGTAGAAGGCAAAATAGATGACTGGGACCTCCTAAAAATTAGTCACTTATATGCACCAAAAGATTTCACCAAAAGAGTAAAAAGGAAGTCCATAGACGGAGAAAAAATTTTGCCATCAACATATCAGACAAGGGACTAATCTCTAAAATTTATAGAAAATTTTAACACTTCTACAAGAAAAAGACAAACAACTCAATTCAAAAAAATGGGTACAGGACATGAACAGACAGTTCACAAAGGAAGACATTCAAGCAGCCAACAAATATATTAAGAAATGTTCACAATCATTAGCCATTAGACAGATGCAAATCAAAACAACAATGTCAGAGGAACTTCCGGAGCTTCCCTGACCACGCACCTCAGGTAGGGAAGTCTCTGGGGAAAAGGGGCAGAATCACACATAGGAAACCTCTCTCTAGCAGACAGCCAGCCTTTGAACAAACATAAGATCTTATGTTTCAACATTCTGAACTCGTTTTTTTAAAACATCAAATTGCTGAGGAATTACAGGCATTTCGAGCTTTTGCCTGCCTGCACATGGCTCCTGCTTCCGCGCCCACGCCAGCGAGTGCCTCTGCCCTCTGCAGACCTTGGAATGCAGAGCTAGAGCAACCCCACTTAGAAGGCTGCATTTCCAGAGAAAAGGAAGCATAAACTAACAAAGCCGAACAAACAGAGAGGGATGTCGGCGCAGATATCAGGAAATTCGGGGTACTCACAGAACAGAGAAACTGAGAAAAGCATTTTTTACGTCATCAGATACGGACAATACCTCCCTACAGCCACTAACCCCAGTCCTCTACTGCCCTGGCCTAGACCAGCCCTTTGCCAAGCCGCCAAGGCTCAGGAATGCCCAAGGCACAGGCCCGCCCACTGAGGCCAAGGCCTGCCCTGAGGCCCAACCCGCCCACAGACTAGTCACAAAAGCCTAGGCCCAACCAAGTCCCAAACTGTTTACCCACCTCGTGGCCAAGGCGGCCCACAGCCCGGTAGCCGCCGCGGAGGTCCAGTGCCCCCAAGGCCCAATGCGCCACATAGCCAGGTAACTGAGGACCAGGGCCCCTGAGGCCCAACCTGCCGCGTAGCCCAGGCGCCAAGGCCCAGTGCCCCTGAGATCCAACCCGTCCTCAGCCCGGTCCCCGAGGCACAGGCCCCCCGAGGCCCAAACCTCCCGTCCGAGGCCCAAACCACCCGCCCGAGGCCCAACCCTCCTGCAGCCCGGTCGCTGAAGTCCAGGCCCCCAGAGGCCCAAACCCTCTGCCCTAGGCTCAACCCACCTGCCCGAGGCCCAAATGGCCCACCACTGAGGCCCAGGCCCAACTGAGACCCAAAAACGTTACTCTGAGTTAAGCAATAAGGAGAGTGAAAAGGGAAGACCAAATCCTGATCACATCTTCCTGGAGGTAATCAGAAAACTTAAAAAATTACCAAAACACATACCTAATTAATTACTAGGGCCACAGATAAACATTAAACATGTCCAAGAAGCAAAATCAGATGACCATATCGGCACATGTCCAGAGAAAAGATAAAATATATGAGACAAATGAACCAGAAGTAGACCTTCTCTCCATACTGGAAGGAGGACAGGCCTTGGAGATACCTGAGAAAGAATTCAGAAAAATGATTATAAAATG